TAATTTTTTTCAATTACAGTTGACATAGAATATCATATTAGTTTTTGGTGTACAAGATAGCTATGAGACATTTATGTAACTTATGAAGTGATCACCCTGATAAGTCTAGTGCCCATCTGACACCATCCATAGTTATTATAATATTATTAACTATATTCCCTATGCTGTACTTTATATCCCTGTTCGTCTTAATCCCGTCCCCTTTTCACCCGGCTCCCCAATCCCCCTCCTATCTGGCAACCATCAATTTGTTCTCTGTATCAACGAGTGAGGCTGATTCTTGAAAGGGAAAATGCAAGATTAGAAAAAAACAGTTGAGTTGATTTTTTTTCTGGCTGTGGAGCCCTAAAGATGTTGTCTTTTCATTCTTGCTACACAGACACTGGAGCATTTCTGGAGGGGCATGGGATGCGCTGTGTTTATAAAAACATTTTTACTTTCCTCCAGGGCACATACAAAATACCAGCAGAAGTGACCCATGTCACTGTCAGACCTGGTGCTGAACAAAGTCCCACATGACCTGTCTCATTCTCTCCTGTGCAGCTGGGAGCAAAGGTCTCCAATACAGCGGGGCCAAACAGAGGAGAAGCCCGGACTCCTACACCACCACCCGGATGGGGGCGACCAGGTGAGCTTCCTACCTGCATCTAACCAAATTCTACTGTGGCAAGTCACTGAGATTTGGGGGGTGTCCTTACAGAAGCTAACAAGTGTTACCCTAATATGCCACTATTCTTTTCAGAGTCCAATTTTCCAGCCTTCCTTGCAATTTTAATATCCTTCCAGCGAATTCCTTTCTACTTGTTGGCCAGTGTCTACTTCTGTTGCTTTCCACCACAGTCCCTGATGGATCTACCACTCATCGTAATCTAAATGCCCAGATGAAGAATTCACAACCAATGAGATTGAACCATGTTACCTCACTTGAGACTGTAGATGTTTATTATCTTGACACTTCATAAGTCAACAGATATAGGTATATACTCAGCACCGACTAACATTTAAGAGGCACAAAGTAAGAATTAGGTACAGGTTCTGCCCCTTTCTTGTTTTTACAAAGAAACATGCACCCAGGCTCCTTCATTGTGGACACTCTGCTAGGCATTACAGATACAAAGACGAGTGAGGGTTGGTCCTTGTCTTGGAGGAGCTCAGGGTCCCTTGCTATTGAGAAGCTTCTGATGTTGGGGAGAAATCAAGACAAGCATGTGTGGTGCCAATGTTACCACTCTTAGGAAGTAAGACTAGATGATAAGGCCGGTAGGTTCTGTCCTTGTTCCTCTTCGCTTTATATAATCTTCCGGGGTGACTCATCTATTCTTTCATGGTTCTGACTACCAGTCCTGATTCTCAGATCTATTATCTCTGATTCTCGCTTTTCCACTGAGTTCCAGACAAACACTTCTAATTGTCAGCAAGACATCCCCGCCTGGGTGTCTCTCTCAGGCCTTTCATATTCAACACGTCAAGAATCAAACTCATTCCCCTCTCTCCCCAACCTGCTTTCCAACCTGTGTGTCTGCTCTCCGAGTTGGACAGTTGGATGTCCAACTGAGATGGAACAGTTGGCCCAGCTAGGTAGGAGTCATGGTGTCCTTTGACTCATCTCTCTCTTTCATTTCCTTTTGTACATTAGTCACCAAGGTCCATCACTTCCATCTCAGAAACGTTTCTATGTCGTCTCTTCCCAATTCATCCCCCTGGTTCAGAATCTCATACCCTTTCATCTGTGCTGCCCCAGCAGCCCCATAACTGACCCCTCTGTCCCAGCATCTCCTGTCTAATGCATTGTCTACCCTGCCGCTCATGATCACTCTGATCTTGAGGTCGAATTTCATTCCTCTGTTAAGGTTTCTTCACTGGCTCCCCAAAGTCTTCAGGATGAAGTCCAAACTTCTCAGTCTGACATATAAGACACTTCACAATCTTGCTCCATCAGTTTGCCCATCTCCACCTTTGTGAGTATAACGAGAAAGCTAAATTCTTCTTAAGTTTGACTCTAATGTGTCCCCTTAACTCATCGTTCCTTACTGATTGGTCATCTGAAATTCCAGCCAGTTTTCTGCTCCCTCTTTTGTGATCACCTCCAAGAACAGCAAAAGTCTCAGCTCCTTCAAGCCACCATGAATAGTTTCTTCTCATTCTGGTGGGCTTGGTCCTCTTAGCCCTGGCCTATGGTGGAAGACCACTGTTTATTCCCTCTGGCTTCCTCGTGAGTGACCATCACCCTGCATGTCTTATAACCAACCTGTAGCCCCTTTTATCTCTGCCACGAGGACTGAGATCCTGGGAGGTCATTTTCTCACTTCTCAAGCTGGTCACATCACCCAGGTTCATCTACTTTTTAATCCAAGGACTTGAGAATTGAAATAAAGCTCAAGAGTAACTCAGGGAAACACCTTTTCCTATGCACAAAAGCCTGATGCAACTCATAGGGAAGTTTCCACCCTGTTCAGGACATAGAAACCACGGCCCCTGAGACGACATTCTGTCTTTAGGTGTCTCCAGTTGTTAGTGGTTCTTCCTTTCCACGGAGAAGGACTCCCTCCCTCCCTCTTGTAACTTCCACTCCTGGTTCTAGATTTATCTAGCAATACAGACAGAACAAGTTTCCCATCCCTCTTCCATGCGATTTCACTTCAGATATCTGGAGACACTTCCTCGATCCCTGTTCCAAGTCCTCTTTCACTAGAGCAGTTCCTCCCATAAACTTCAGTGACAGAATCAGTGGCTCATGGAGGTTCAAATTCGCAAACTGTGGACCCAGTTATCTTCCCACCGAGGTCTTTATCTCTTGGACACTGACCTCAGAAATCAGGTTGCTCTCCCGGTCTCACATCAAAAGAGCACCTAAGAAATAGGCCTGCACGATATAACCCCCTTATAATTAGAATTTTAAAAACTGCAACAGTATGTTGAAAACTTCTACAATGGGGTGTCAAGAGACAAAAGAGACTCAGAATTTTGCGTTTGGAAAGTAAATTACAGTCCTTTCTGCACCCAGAAAATTCTTGTAGATTTCACACCACCCCTTTCGGTAACTAATACATCTGGTGTTGCCCTAAAACATCGACATGGCAAATGCATCTTGCTTTGGACATTCCCAATTCACGTGGAACACAGAAGAGTTGTGTTTCTTCTCCCTGAGAACCCTGGCATGTGTCTGTCTGTCCCCCCGATACACTCCTTCTACTGTGACACCCTGATTTGCCGCCTCCCCAGTTTTCTTTTACGAGTCTTTTAAAGTGACACTGATTTCTGTTCTTCATCTTCTATCCCATCACTGGTGACCATTTTCATCTGAGCCTTCCTGTCACCCACCTCCTTTTGTTCTGAGGATAGCATCTCCAGCCAGTGACTTTGTATGTTTGGATCCAGAGCATGTCCTTCGTACACTTCACACATCCTCAGATGACAAGGCTCTTGCTCTTCGTTTCCCCGCGTTGGCAGAACTGGGACCGAATTATTGAAAGTGGTTTTTACCCGGCCTTCTTTCCTGCACGGGCAGTTACTTCCTCTCCACGGGCAGTTACTTCCTCTCCACATGACTGCACTGGCCAAGTGACTGTGTCCACAGTTAGCTAATTACAGGCTCAATGAACCCCTTGTCCCTTCAAACTTGGCCATTAGTGTTGTGTGATTAAATTTATCTTTTCATTCCCTTCTGATCAACTGAATCACGGGAGATCCCACGTCTGATTTTTTCCCTGTATTCTTTTACGATGTCAGTGTAAGCCTTTTCCTTTTGTATTTCCCTTTTAATATCAGTCATATTTCCCATTCCTTTACAAAGCACAGCAGTTGTGGCTTTATATATTGGACTCAAGGTATATTTATTTGAATTAAGTCTACCATGTAATAAGGGTTTATTATTATTGTTAATTAAAGGGTTAACTATTAATAAATAATTATTACCTTAACCCATTTTGTAAACTATAAAATTAAGGCAGCTGAATAGTCGAGCCACCAAAGTCATACAGTCACCATAGAGTAAAACTAAAAATCCTAAATAGCAAATTCCACTCTTTCCATGGGAGTTTCCAACGTAGAGTAAAAATTAACCTTCAGCCTCATTTGCCTTTAAAAGAAAACACCCTCAAGTAGTCCCCCAAACTGTTATCACCTGGTTTCTTGAAAGCTACCAAAAAATGTAATTTCTTTTGAAAAATGGCTTCAAGCGTTTACCTTTTCTCCTACAATTAATGTAGGTTTTTCCTCTTCATTTCTATGTTTTATTCCAATGTCCTTGTCCAACCAACATTTATAGAGCACGAAATATGGGCTCAATTTCAGTTCATACAAGGAGGTCCTCTCCCACCAACATCCCTCCAATCCATGTAAGAGGCAGAAGCCAAAAGCAATGAGCTTTCATTTATGAAAAAAAAATCATATTAACGAGGACCAGATATATTTGCTTTAAGAGTAACTCAAGACACTTTTAGTTTTCAAGAAATTTGCCTTCCAATTAAACACTAGCGCCTTCCCCAGTAGCTCTTTTAATTGCCACAGTTTATTATTAAGCTCCCCAGTATTCAGCCATCTTTCCTTATGATTGTCTAAGGGGAGGTCAGGACGGGAAGAAGCCTGCTGTCTCAGGCCCTGACTCACCAGGGAATTCCTCTCTCAGTGGTCTCTGCCCCGCTTCAAAGGCCTGTGGCATTTTCTTCAAAAATTAGCATATAAAAAGATGAGTAAAGCTTAGAGCAGAGAGAAATCAGGGTTAAAGCTGCAACTGGAAGAAAGAAACAAACCACAAAAAAAACCCTAAGAAAACAGAAGAAACATTCAGGGCAACGCTGAAAAGTAGGCCACAGCCTCCAAGAAACAAGACATTAAGACAGGCAGCCGCTGCTCTTAGAGAACATACTCTACAACCGCTTTGTCTGTGACACAAAATAAAGACCACATGTGCAACCTGCTGATAGACCGCAGGAGGAGATGCCGAAGAGGGAACAGCCCAAGCCGGCGACAGGAGAAGGTGGCTGCCCGTCTTCCCTTACCCAACACCAGCAGCTCCACCGAGTCCTCGTTCTTGCCCTCCAGGTCGTCGGGGGTCGTGATAACACAGTAATAGAGTCCGCTGTCTCCCCACATGAGTTTTCCAATTTGAAGATCGGCATCTGTTATCACAAAGAGAAGGACCCAGACTCAAAACTGCCTCTGAAAGGAACCCTGTCCGTAGGGGTGGATGGGAGGGGGGCCCTTCGGGCATGTCTGCAGTGCCATGTTTCTTTACCTGGATGATGGTTGACAAGATCTTTGCTTTATCTAAAACAAACATACAAAAATCACAAAAAAGCTAGCCTCCCTGAGGTGAGAGACAGAGCACCACCATAACCTGGTCTGGTTCCAGGCCAGCTCCAGGAATAGAAGGCTGCTTGCAACCAAGCAAGCCGGCAGAGGCCCCTGAGAGCCAGATAAATTCCAGAACTGCTCTGGACTCCTGGAAATGAGCTGGCTTCACAGGCATTCTTCCAAGTTCAAAGAGGTCATATCAGACTCTTTGGACCTTTTCTTATCCAAAACTTTAGGGAACAGGAAAAAGGGTGGGACTGAGGCAAAACCACCTGGGGCGTGGGCCATGGCATGTTAGCTGGCCCCGTCGCTCGTATGCACACGTCTCTACTCTCAGCAGAGGAAATTTGGGAAACTGAGTTTGGGAAAGGGCCACACAGGCTGTAATGTCAAGGTGTAAGGTATCTGACTGAGGAAGTTCTTTCACTAGAACCTATTTCAATTCCGTTCTGACAATAAGCTCCACAGACTGGAGATCAGACTCAGAAAAGACTGTTGCCTAAGCTCATCTCTGTGTCTTCCTAGGTACTATACTCTCCACTTTTTCTCCCTCACTATCTCACGAAAGCAGTTTCCTAAGCTTCTTGATGCTTCCATCTCCCATCAAATCAAAGTCTTGAGGGATGGAAAGGCCGAGAGGCTAACATCCCCTGTGTCTGGGAAGAATGGAACTAAGGTCCCTCGCATTCCCAAGATTCAAAGCAGGGCATGGTTACCATGAACAATCGTGATCTCTCGGCCCCTGTAGAAATCGCCCAGGGTGACGGCGGAGCCCTGTTTGGAGGCGACCACCCGAACCGTCCTCCTGCTGTCTAAGCAGTCCAAGTAGGGGTCCCATTCTAGGTTCCTTTTGCTGAGAGACTGGGCCCGGGCAGAAGACATGCCCAGGGACTCCCCCATGCGGTCCTGGCAGTAGGACTTGAACTTCCACTGCACGACTGCGGGCTGATGGGAGGACGTGGAGAAGTGGCAGCGAAGCACCGTGGGCTGGAAGAGCATGGCCACCTTCTTCTTGTCAGGCACTGTGACCTGCAGGCCTTCCACCATGGCTGCAAAACAGAACAAACATGTCCAAGTCCTGGACCTCCCCCCACCTCACCTCACACCACAGGGCCATGCTGCTCCCCTGACCTCATCTCACCCAATGTGGTCACGCGCACTCCCCCCTTACCTCACTCACCTGTCCCTCCCCGTTTTCTCCATCACAGTTAATGGCAACCTGCCATCACTCCCAATATCCAGTCAGGCCCTAAGTCATGTCAGTGTCCCCTCTCAACACCGTTACTATTTCTTCCCTCTTCTTTAACCCCACTTTTTTGTTTTAATGCCCTCTTCATTGCTTGCTTGTAATACTGCCGTCATCTGTTGTCTGGTCTCCCTGCCTGCAGTTGTCCCCAGGCAATACCTTCTCTTTGCTGTAGTTCAGGTGACCTCTTGAAATCTGACTTTTATGGCTCTCCTTCTTAAAACCCTTCACTCACCTACCGTGGCCTTCAGGATAAAACCCCAAATTCCTGGCAAGGCATTTAAGGCACCCCATCACCAGTTCCTCCTACCTCCTCAGCCTCAGTTCTCCCTGCACCTCGCTTTGAGCACCAACCTCTAAGAATAGCAGTTTCCCCAAGTGGGACATGCTATTTCACACCTCCAGGTCTTGGCACACGATGTCCCTTGTTTCTGGAATGCTTTTTCCTCACTTCTTTCCCTGGGAAACACCCTCCCACCTTTCAAAACCCGGTTCTAAGACTTTTTGTTGGAAAGCCTTCTCTGACCAATCAATGCATTTGTCACTTCCTCCTTTGTGCCATCAGTACCCCCAGCATTCTCCTCTAGATATTTATTCTCATAACTTTGCAAGTATTTATTTTCATGCCTGTCACCCCATCAGACTTATGTGTCTTGTCTTGCTGTCTTGGCTTGTGGCGCCCCTAGGTCCTCAGCAAATATTTGATAAGTAAGGACCATGAAGCCAGGAAGTCTGACTTCGGGACGAAGAGACCTCCCTTCTAGCTGGTGACCAAGCAAAGGGGACAGAGATGAAGGGGAAGTGAGGGCTTTGAGAGAAACGGAGACATTCGGATAAAAAGCAGCAGGCTACATTCAAAAACTTTGAAGGGTAATCAAAAAAGAGGGGAAAAGGCTAGAAAGCAGATGCGAAGTTTAAGTGGTGAAAAGATCCAACCTGAGGCTTGGCGTCCAAGAAAGAGAGGGAAGTTTCGGTGAATGAAAGACCCGGGGAGTGTTTGAGAGGCAAAGGGCCCCTATGAACTCAATGGAAAGAGCTAGAAATACCAAGCACAGAGAACATCACTTCCTCAGGTGAATGGGGGAGTCCGGAGTTTCTAGCTTGATCTGAGGTTAGAAGCAGATACAGAATTACAGTGAGAGGCAGAAAGGAAGGAAGGAAAGGAGGGAGGGAGGGAGGGAGGAATGTGAAAAGAAGGACATGGTGAAGAGATTCGGAAATGAGTCCAGGAGCCTACCAAGTCAGCTTCCGGAAGCTTGACGCAGAGAGCCTCACCTAGAAGTTACAGGTGGACTTGGGACATGCATGAATGGGCCAATTTCCATGGGCGCATCTGTCCGTTATTACTGCCGGTGTTCACCATGACATCCAGCAAAGCAAACTCCCTCTCACAGCTCAATCATACCCTTATTTAGGAAGGTCTTTACACAAACATCCTCGACTAGGTGAGGATACCATATCTGTACTCACAGCTTCTGGTTTCCAGACCAGGGGCTCTCCTGAGTGAAAGCACCATGAGAAACTACGTTCTATTGTTAATTCCTGTAAGGAGAAAAGGCCTCTGCTCTCTGTGCCATTAGAAAGTGAGTGCAACAGAGTACTTGAGATTTAGTGAATCTTAAAGTGTTTTGAACCCACCAAGCACTTAGTAGCCACCTGTGTAATAACTGAAGGAATGGATGAGCAATCCATTGATTATTAATATGGGCATTTCTAGGAAACTGGTTAAATAAGTCATTAAGTCATGATATAGCCAAATAGCATCATCAGCGTCAAATAGGGCTTTGAATCTCATGGGGCGTGAGGCCTTCATGAGAACCCCACCTGTAAAATGACCCTCATGACTCTTGCGCAAAGGGTGGTTAACCAACATGATGGCATCGGTCACCTCCAGAGTAGACTCTGGAGCAGAGCACTGCGACCATGCGCAATAGAGGGTAATTCTCACAGAGGAGTCCATCTTCACCTGCCATTCGGAGGCCCCTTGATGACCAGCCCCCATCAGTAGGTCTGACTGCAGCCGGATTGTATAAGTCAGCCCCATCGAGGCACAAATAATTCCCATCTGTAAGTTCACCCGAGAACCCCCGTCCCCAGGCTCCGCTGTTTCCGTCCTCCACCCTTAAATGTGGATGGGGTTAATTCATGCACCCTGACTTGCACAGCCGGATCAAGACAAGAAATTTCGTCACCGTTTCTCCTTAAATTCCATTGTATGACTTTGTAAATCTCGTGATTCTTCTTCAAACCCTGTTTACCTCCCAATTTTCTAGAGCACAAAAATGGGACAGAGAGGTGAAGTGACTTCAATTAGCAATGGCTGAGGTCAGATAACCAATGACAGGCACCGTTCCCAGCTGGACGCAGTGTTCTTGACCCCATCACCTTTCTTCTCTGCTCCCCATTCAGGCTAATTTGGGAAACCATATTTCCTAGCTTTTCTAGGATAAACCAAACCAGCAAAGGAGACAGGTGCAAAAATGTTGGGGGGCGGCTGTGGTTCTTCTTGAGACAGTTATCTCTGGGGTTTTGTTCATTAGGTGATTACTAAGAATATCCCCCTCCCCAGCTCCGTCCTCTGTTAATGAGGCCAGCCACTTGACCAAGACATGGGACCCCCTTAAGTACTTCTAGAAGTACCTCAATTCTCAGCTCCTTCCATGACAGACACATAGACTCATGCTCCAAAGAATAAGGCTCACATCCTCAGAAACACCTGCCTTGTTACGGCATGACAAAGGCGGGGATTTCGGAGTCAGTCCCTAACTAGCATCCAAGCTCTACCACCTCCTGGCTGCACGGAATCGCTTAACTCTCAGGAGTTTCCGTTAGCTCACTGGTCCAACCAGAATAATGGTGTACCTTAGGGAGCTATTTGAGGGTGAGATAAGATTTCGCCCTAAGCTCTTAGGATAACATGGTGTGTAGTAAGTGGTCAGTAAGTGTGATTGTTGCGGCTGCTGTCAACCCCTGTGAAGCTAGGAACCTAGAGCTGGGGGAGCACAGATGTCAAGGTGTGTGACGCTGAGCGCATACAGGCAGGTGGCAGGAACTGCACGGGAGTATCAGACTGCGTAGTTAGGAGCTGAGCAGGGACCGTGCCTATGTGTGCTCATCACTGCTGTCACCTGGGTACCTCCCGGAAGTGAGAAATGGGAGGTCAGCCTGTGCATGTGTGTGTATGTGTGTGCGCGCATATGTGCAGGTCCAGTGGGAGCCCCCAGGCCTCTGAGCTAAGGACAGAGCTGGAAAACTGCAGAGGACAACACTGGGAATTTCAAGGAAGTGTCAGCTTACTGGATCTCTGAGGGATATAAGAAAGCGGAGAACGGCAGTCCCTGCTTTAGCTCTATGAGCTACAAGCTGTGAATGCCACCTAACTCCCACGCCTTAGGAACCCCATTCCCACGGGACGCGGGGGGTTCTAGAATTGCTCTTTGGCCCTCACCCGAGGGTGAGGGCTTGGGTCCTGTACCCCCACTGAACAGCATCTCTTTCCCCCAACCTGTTTATCTCATACCTGGGTTCCCATCTGATCTGCAACCTGTTTGCCCCCCTGGGACCAAAGCCTTGCTGTGAGCGCCAACCTGCTCCCTGGGCCCTGATGCCAGTCCATCTCCTGAAGCTTGGGTATTGTTTCCTGTACCCCTCACCCAGGACTGGTCCAAATCTGCACCTGTGCTGCGGCTACCCACACAGCTTAGACAAATACCTCTCATGGGATGCTCCTCCTGCCCCCAGATCAGGCCTCTCAGAGACAGGAGCGAATTGGCGTGAGGACCAAGACAAGCAGGGCCCCATGGACACGGAGACCTGGCCTGAGCCAGGTCAGTCCTGAGCTGGGTCCCACCTGACCTGGTCTTTGTTTTTTCTCTTTCACCACTTGTCAGAGGCCACAAACCTAGGACTTCTTAGGCTGGACTCTACGCAGCTAAGAGTACCTCTGAATGCCAGGTGAACGAGTGAAAAGTGCTCAGCCGCTTTGTAGCATCCACCCGTGCCTTCAACCTACGGAACCTCACTCACTCCCAGCTATGCTTCAGGCCCTCAACTCTCGTAAGCCCCACCTGCGTGTTCCACAGGTACTTCACCTTAAGCCTGTGGGAACCCCACTTGTGATCTCCTGCTTTCCTACCTCAACGTGTGCTTATAAGCCGGTCCTTCCTCTCCACCAGCTCTTCACCAGTCTACACCAGCCTACCGCCTCGGACAGAAGTCAGAGCTTTGGTCATTTCCTCTCTGTCCCTGACCACATTGGGTTGGTCACCAAGTCTATACTGCTTTCAGATCTGACCCTTCTCTAGTCCCACGGTCTGCCCTAAATCAGATATCTATTCCTGCTACTAGATAACAGTCATAAAATGCTTCCTATGTGTCAGAAATCACGTTAAGCACCATTCTTGTAGTATCTTAATGAATTCTCTCAAACAATCCTATGAAGTAGGTATTATTAGAATGCCCACTTTAGAGATGAGGAAATTGATTCTCAGAGAATGTGTGTATCTTCCCAACATGTCAGAGTTAGCGAGTGACACTCAGCTGTGACCCCGGGCCGACTGGCTCTAAAGCTTTTCACCATCATGTTATACAAGGTCCTCATTACCTCCTCGGCTTTATAACAGCCTCCTCAGTAGGCCCCCTACGTCCAGCCCAATACATTCTCCACAGTTTTTCTATTGAGAGTTGGTTTTTTTTTAAGACATATGTAACCGTGTCTGTCCCTTGCTGTAAGGCCTCCATTCATTTCCCATTCCTTCCAGGACAAAACCCAAATACCCTGTGACAACACATAAGGTCTTCCCT